GTATATGTTTTCTCTACAATCTACATGTGTCTTTATCACATTATATCTTAAAATAATATTGTGCCACTTCAAATATAATCTATAAACTTAACAACACTATGGTTTCATTACCTATCCCGCCTTTGTTGTGCTTTTGTTGCACATATTTTACTTTCATATGTATTTAAAGCCACAATATATTGTTATTTTTGTTTTAAGAAGTTAAATTATCTTTTTTAAAAGTTAAAAAAATTTTAAAAACTATATTTATTCACACATTTATCATTTGCAGATCTCAACAGTTCTTCGTGTGGATCCAAATTTGCATCTACTATATCTATTCTTCTGCCCACAGAATGTTCTTTAACATTTCTTTTAATATTCACCTACTATCAACAGATAGCTCATCATTTGTTTGTCCGAAAATGACCTTGTTTTGCCTTCCGATCTGAGAAATATTTTTATTACATATAAAATTCTAGGTTGACAGTTTTTCTTTTCATTTAGCACTTTAAAAATGTCATCCCATTGTCTCCTGACCTCCATGGTTTCACATAAAAATTTAGCCCTCATTTGAATCATTGGACCCTTATATTTAATGTTTTTTTCCCTAGGTTATTTAAGATTTTCTGTTATATCATTGTATTTCAGAAATTTGACTATGACATGCCTTGATGTGCTTTACTTTGACCTAACTTAAATGGGTTTTTGTTTAACTTCTTAAACTCATGTTAGCATTTTTCATCAAATGTGAAAAATTGTGTCTATAATAGCTGAATCAGTGCTTCAAATTCAACATACAGAATCTTTGTAAAACTGAACTGTCATATATAACTTAAAGCAAAATTATTGATTCCTTCTTCTATTTGCAGTGACTCTGTCTGCAGAGTAGACCAAAGCTTAACTCATCACTTATTTGTTAGCATGGAAGAGATAACATAAGAACAGAGATACCTGGCCAGACCTACCTCAAATCTGTGCCCTCCTTGGGGGTATACTTATCATGTGGGAGAAATGAGTATAAAAGGAAACACCTCTCATACATACTAATCTTTAGAACAGAATAACCATGCTCACCACAAATGTGGTTAAGCTCTGACTAATCACATTAGCAATTTCTCCCTCAAATGATGAGCAGAATAATTAGAAGAGGTAGCCAGACAGGTGGCTTTTCAGTCAAAAGGGATAGAAGATTCCATGTCAAATAACATAGGCAGAGGGACTTTGTCAATACTTTTGAGTCATAATGAGCAAACCACTGACAGAATTCACAGCAAGATATTAGATTCAATCAGAAAAAGGTTTGAGGGACAATGTATATGGACGTGTAGGAGGAACTGGGGTGTAAGTCTAATCCTGGTAGGAAAACTGATTTCAAAAATTTCCTTGATAATCTGAGAGAATAATGGTGCCACTTTTAGAGGTAGAAAAATTATTGTGAAGGGAAGTCTGTATTGGAGGTAGAAATGAAATGAGTTAGTTTCATTTGTTCAGACAGACACTCAGTTAAAAGAAACTAATTGATGATGACCTGAACTGAGGTGAGGTTTCCTTTATGCAAAATTGAGTATCTGGGCGCATATTATACAGTAATTCATCACTTTCATTCGAAATTGAGTATCTGGGTATGTATTATACAGCGATTCACCCATGATGATTCAAAATACCAAACAAAAACAGGAGAAAACTATATTTGAGAAAAGGAAATGGGCACAATTATTTCAAAACCATGCCAGTCCACCATGTAGGAATATCCAGAAAGCTATTAGATATTCGGTTTGAGACAGTGGCTTGAGAGATAGTATTATTGAGCCTCTGTGACAAAATGAATGAATGAATGATGGACCTAAGTTTGCTTTGGAGTTAGGTAAAGTTAGGTAAATTGTAGTTGTTGGTGTACATTCTTTAAACATTTCCATTGGATTCTTCTTGTCGCTCAAAACAGTAATGGTGAAAAGAGAAATTATACTTTAAAAATTAATCAGATGTCACTTATTGGCACTATTCTTTGGAAACAGCATAACCAAGTGGCAAGACCAGTGTCTAAAAAGATCAATTTGTCCATAAAGTCTCTTCTGTTTTTGGAAGCATGGGGCAAGAAATTGTAACAGCTGTTATCTGGTGGTCAAGAAAAATCACAGTTAGGTTTTCACCATCTTCTCATGAGTGTTGACTGGTTTGTGATTACATATTCCATACTGCCTATGTTTGTGTTTTAGAAACATGCAGATACTCAGAAAACATGTATGTGCACCTGAAATATATCACACTCAACCATATGGAGTAGTGAAAAGCGTTCTGGACAACATGAAAACCAAACTGTATTCTCTTTCTGGCTCTGCCTCTTCCTGGCTTTGTGATTTGGGGCAAGTTATCCCTCTGGGTCTTAGTTATTCTCATGTGTAAACTCAAGGGTTTGGATTTGTAGAACATGGAGATGCTTTTCAGCTTCATACTCTCTTGCATGCAAAATTGAGTATTTGGGTGTATATTGAACAGCAGTCCAGCCATGGTGACTCAATTCACCATATATTTGCTATCTACTCTGTTCAGATTTGGAAATATAAAAACATATAAGAAAACAATCTCTTCTTAAGAATCCCACAGTCTAGTGAAAAGACATGCCAATAAATAGTTACAAAATAATAGGATAATTGACATAATTAGGTCTATAGTGGGCACTTAGAAATAGAAAGAAAAGAGAACCTAAATATGTCTAGGGGAGATAGTTTCTCAGAAGAGGGGACACACGAACTGAGCCCAACAAAAGTTCAGTAGTTTATAAGACAAATGCAGCAGAAGTTTGGGGGTAGAACTATGGGCAGAGTGAAATGCTAGCAAATGTAAAAATGTCCACAAATCTGTTGGATTCCAAGAGCCACAAACCCTTCTGAATGGTAAGTGCTTGGTATGTGTGTGGTGGCATGGCAGCCCAGGAGACTAGTGAGCCAGGCAAGGGTCAGCTCATGAAGGTCCCTCATGAGTCTAAACACTTAGGAGTTTAGACTTTGTCATAGAGACAGCTAGTCTCCAAAATTTGGGGACATGCTACACACTCGTAAAATTATTGAGCACAGATTAAAATTTTTTTTGAAAACCTTTTGAGCATGTTACATGTATTTCTGTAAAATATGTTGTAATAGTCAGGGTTCTCCAGAAAAGTAGAACCAATAGAATGAATATATATTCAAGAAAGTGAGAAAGAGAGTGATTTATTTTGACATGCTACCCATTGGTAAAATTATTGAGTCAAGATTAAAATTTTTTTGAAAACCTTTTGAGCATGTTACATGTGTTTCTGTAAAATATGTCGTAATACTCAGGGTTCACCAGAAAAATAGAACCAATAGAATGAACATATATTCAAGAAAGTGAGAAAGAGAGCGAGTGAGATTTATTTTAGGGAATTGGCTCATATGATTGTGGAGGCTAGCAAGTCTGAAATTTACAGGGCAGCCCAGCAGCCTGGAGACTGAAGGAAGAGTTGATGTTACATTGGGACTCTGAAGCCAGTCTGTTGAGAGTTCTCTCTCCAGGGGAAGTCAGTCTTTTTCTCATGCACTTCAACTGATTGGATGAGGCCTAACCACGTTATTGAGGGTAATTTGCTTTACTGCAAGTTTATGAATTTCAAGTTAATCTCATCTGAAAAATACCTTCATAGTAACATCCAGATGCATTTGACCAAGTATCTGGGTACTGTAGCCTAGGCAAACTTAACACATAAAATGAACCACCACACATGTATCTATTTTACTACTATATCACATACATTATAAAATATATATATTACAGACATATACAAAAATATTTTAGAAAGAATAACATTATGAAACAAAAAGAAAATTCTAATTCTAATGCCAATTCTAATGCTTTCTTCTTAACTTCCAGTGAGTTCTTTCGTGCAGGAGTCCTGCTAGATAGACTAGAGAGCCATTATAAGAAGGAGTTACAGAATTAAATACATACAATTGTCATCTGTCTCATGGCAGAGCTGAGATTAGAGGCAGGAATACAGGAGGAAACAATAGAGCAGAAAAGAGAAGGTTGGTGTGTGACCTAAGGTTGGAGCAATGTTATAAAGTGAGCATTGGGAGACAGAACGAACAGGGTGACTGATCACAAGTGGGGGTTGAAGACAGTGAGGAATCTTAAGTGACTACTAGGACTTGCGCCCTTAGTGGATGGACTGTGGGTATCATTGATTCGGATTTACTAAAAGCTCTACTGAGATGAGTTCTGCACATACTACATATGCATGCCTTGTTCCAGCCACTTGGCGCTAACCTCCTGGCATTGAGAAATGAAGGCTTGGTATACAGATATGAGTTCCAGCCCAGGCATGGGAGTTAAATTAAATGTGATGACAATAGAAATAGGGTGATATTGGAGTTATAACACACAGCAATATTTAAATTATATGGTATCAACAAAACTGGCTACCATTTATCCAGGATTTATTACATACAAGGCACTGTGCTAAATGCTTTGCATACATTATCTCAACTAATCTTTAAAACAACCATAGAAGATAAGAATTGTCATGTCCCTTTTTATGGACCAAAAAATTAATGCTTAAGTTGGGGCATGGTGGCTCACACCTGTAATCCCAGTGCTTCGGGAGGCTGAGACAGGAGGACTTCTTGAGGCCAGGAGTTTGAGACTAACTTGGGCAATATAGTGAGATACCATCTCTACAAAAAACAAAGAAAGGTAGCTGGATATGGTGTCAGGTGCCAGTAGTCCTAGCTAATGAGCTGTGATTGCACCACTGCCCCTCAGACTGGGTGACAAAATGAGACCCTGTCTCAAAAATAAATAAGTACATAAATAAATAAATAAATAAAAGTAGCTAATACTCAAAAAAATTAAGTAACTTGCCCTAGGTCAAAGTCTGTAAGAGGAGGAGATGGAATTAAAACTCAGGCTTAACTGAACTCTAAGCAGCATGATCTTAATCACCATATGGTATTTTTACTTATTTAAGTAGCACATTGAAAAAGAAAACACAAGTGTCATACCTGTTACCAGACATGGAAAGAGCTGAGGGAGGAAGAGATGGAATGACTTGGTTATTTAGCAGAATATTTCTTTGTGTAGAAACCTCATGTAGTAGTAAATTGTTTAAAAGCTCAGGATTTGGAGCCAGGCAGACTATAATCTCAACATTTCCTTAAGATTCAGTTTGTTGGCCTATAATAAAGGATAAAAACAGTGTTATATGCTTATTATTAGAATTAAATTAAGTAATGTAGATATAGTGTCTGTAGATAAATCTGAACAATTCTTATTATATTTCTTCATTTTGGTCTGATTGTGTAAAAGAAAGATAATGTCCTTCAGGGTAGGGCGGAGAATTGTTAAGATTACAATGGCTTCTGCATTGCCTCAAAGACTTTATTCCAAGGAGTTTTATTTAAACATTAAACAATAATCTGTTTATTTAATGGTGCCTCTTCCAACAAGCACTTTTAGTTTGTGGTTTTAATAACATATACATTGGCAGTGAATAGCTCAATAGTTCCTATAAGCTTGATTAAATTCCAAACTAGATTTTTCACTTTTTGAACTACCTGAAAACAAATTCTGAACCATTACAAACAAAAGCAAATGGGACTGAAACATTTGTAAGTATTTAAGTAGGTTCTTAGGACACCTGAATAATATTTAAAAATACCCCAGAAGGAATCAAAATAGTATGATTGCTTGAGCTTGCTGTGTATGTAAATATAGAATTGGTTCCAAAGGACTGGATGGGTAACGAGTCTTTCTTATTTCCATGTCTGCTGGCTCTGACCCTGGAAATGCCCAGCTGGGGAACTGGTGTGCACCTGTGATGTCTGGGTGAACCAGCTGGGTAACATCACTGTGTCTGTGCATAGAGAAGGAATGATTTTCCCTCATCCCTCTCACTCTGTCCAAAGTCTGCTAATGAGGTCCAGAGGATTGACTTTGTAAAGCCCATTTTTCCTGCGTAGGAGGGACATATGGCACAATTATAAATTACCCATACCCAAGCCAAATAGACCCACATACAAAAAGAAAGATTAAATGCAGGCAGTTAAACAAACAAACATATGAATTATAGCAGACATCAAAGTACCTCTTTTCAGGATTACTATTTTGGAATACCATCCAGCCTTTTATATGTTTGCTGAATAAACTTAGACTGGTGTTAACTAACAAAATACTTATCTACACGGATTAGATGGTGGCCCAATGTGCAACTTTTTATTAAGTAGTGAATTGTCTTCTTTCAGATATTTTGAAATTAATGTCCTTTTTATCATTCGCCAAATCTGTATGTTTTTTGTTTAAACACAATGGAGCAATTCAGCAAGGTATTATAAGATTTCATCTAGTGAGGATAAAAGCTAATGCTGTCTAGAAAGCATGGCTTAAAATTTCTCAAAGCTGTGTTTACCATCATGCCTAAATTATGCAGACAGAGCTTATATATTGGGGCTTTGGGATCTTCAGATTGGAAACATTTTCAGATTTAGAAAAGCTTCATTGTTTAGTTTGAACTTTTCCATTTAAAATAATTAAGGTAGAATGGTAAACATAATCCTCTTACTAATGTGCTTTCTCATCAGTGAAGGCTGAGAAACTTAGCATAAAGATGCAATCTGGAAAAAAGAAGAAATAAGAAAGAACTTTCACCCTTTCACTTAATTCCTGACAAAAAATTACAAAATGTAAAGCCTAATGTTTAGTGTCATCTCTTATTGGAATATCTCAGCTTCCCCAGAGACAATGCATTGCTTCAATAACTATTTGAAACAAATCTTTGTGATATCTGAAGACACTCTTCTACAAGGCTTTCTCTTCAAGAGTTGCAGAGCAACACTTTCCCAGCCCTCTCTGCATCCAGACAAACAAAGCAAGCAGAGAATTATTTCTCTTTGACTTATATTTTACTTGTTAGTCATTTTATAGCATTATAATTCTGAAATAAAATAAGCCTTAAGAGAAAAAAAATCCACCACACATTTTATATTAAATGTTCATTCCTGAGCTAACCTTAACTTGTTGTTCTTTGAAACCACAATGCAATCTTAAAATTGTTTAAAGTGTTATTAATTTCGCAGTTGTACAGTGATGCTTTTTCAGATTGCTTACATATACATCTTTATGACTGAAGATATGCAGATATCCATACTTTTGCTTCTTCAGCTCTCAGTATTGTGCCCTTATTTCTATAAGGCAAGATATTCTATAGCAAAATTATTGATACCTAAATGAACTGCCATTGTTGAGTTGGTCCATTATTTGGGCCTTGTGGAAAGCTGATATAGACACTTCCAAATAAAATTATTTTCAGAATGAAGACTTGGGTCTCTGTGTCTCAACCACCACCAACCAAGGATAAATTCATTCCAGACTTCCAAGGTCATATGTGGTTAGTATTCCCCATTACATGAAAATGAGTTTGAAAATTTAGTGAGAGCCATAATTATGCTTAATTCCATCAATATACTTCCAAAATAAAGCAGCTTCAGATTGTTATAAATACCTCTACCCTTTATTTCCACACAGCAGCCCACATAAAAAATTGAACTAAAAAAATCCATTCATTACCCACTGCACTCTGAATTCATTTCAAGCCATCATTTTTATTATTAGAAAATGTGATGGCCATTTTACCTTGTAAGGACAATCAACAGCAATTACCGTACGTTCAAATGCCATGGGAATTTCTGCGAATCTCAGTTTTGCTCAAGGAAGCATTGGCTAGGAAAGAGAGAGAAGATAAAACAAATGGACCTTTCTTACTTAAATTCCCCACTGAGTAAATACTACCACATTACCAGCTCTGAATAATTAACTCCCATCCACTGTGCCAAAAAATGATGCACTGTATTTGAAATGCATCTTTTCAATAAATACTCCTTGAGAGAAACCACCACAGAAATCATGACAGCTGTCATTGCACTAAACTTTTACTTACTCAAATCATTTTCTGAAAGCCATCATTAGAATCAAATTAAAATAAAGCTGAAGTTTTCTAAATAAAACTGTCAAAGAAGATAAAAGTTTTTACATTGACAGTGAGGCAAATGATTTTTTCCACTCTGTTGAGGTTGCATAATAGTGTAGTATATCTGAATGACTTATGGTCCCTTAATGACAGATTAACAGCTGGAGGAGGGGAGATCTTTCCAAGAATAGTTTTCAAATGAATGAAACTTCAGGCCCAGAGGCAATAGGAAATGCAAAGTGTGGGGAACTGGAGGAAGATATGGGTGGAAGAGTCTTATAAGATCAGACTTTCATAATTCATTAAAATCACGGAAAATGACAGTGTAATCTGAAATGGATTTTTCATATTTACAGGAGAAAGAGGTCATAGTAAATACTAAGTCCTTGAAGATGACTGCATGAAGTGAAGAGCCATAAAAGTGTATTTTGTGCAGCATACTTTAAAGAAATCAGCCTTGCTAAGACAGAATTTGGTGAGGTATTCCATGTACATGATTTTGCTCACCAGAATGCTTCTGAAACAATGAAATACAAAACACTTTAGGCAGCTAGATGGGATAGGGTGAGGTTGATACTAAAAAAGTATGTTATATATGACTGATTTGTTTAGAATGATTAGTCCTGTAATCTGGAATGAGAATTATACTACATCTATATACTTCAGTAAAATTACATAAATTCTAAAAAATAGAACTGATAACAACTTTTTTAAGTTTACTTTTGTGTAGCCAAAATTTACTTTTTTATCCCAAAAATATTTCATGCTTTTATAAATATTACAGAAAACTGGTAAAACAAACGTAGAAGAAAGTAAAAGCCACTTCCCAGTAAAGTCCATATTTAAATTTTAGTGCATTTCCTTCCACTATGTGATGTACTCATTCATATTTTTTAAAAATAAAAGTAGAATTACATTGAATGACGGTGACATTATGCCATGAATGTAGGAGCTACTTAACTTTGCATTTGAAGTCAGTGGTCTAAATTTTAAGGTATATCCAGCAGCCTTAGCAATCCAGACTACAACATATTTATCTTTGTATCTGGCCAACGCTAGATTTGTGTGCACAGTGCTCATTAAAGATATTATCAGTAAGAGTTATAGTAACATATATTTTAGTGCTTAAATATCTTGGGTTGGCAGTAAGGGTCTACTCATTATAGCCACACAGGGACTCAGAGTGATGAATCAGCCAACATTGCAAATGTTATTGCCAGTCCTTTGCTAGAGTAAAATGCGAGCTTTGCAAGTTCTGCCATACTCAATTAAATGCTCAGCCCCCAAATAACACAGATCACTTCTGAGCAGATTTCATTGGTGCAATCTAGTTACCTGGATCTACTCAACTACACAAGAATGAAAGTACAGTCTTGTCACATGCACAGGTGGGCAGAGAACTGACAATATTTGGCAAACATCGCTCTCCATTTTCACAAGAAAAGATAAACTCCATTTTCTAAAATTTTCCATTTTATGTAAAAAAGATGTTTTAGGGTACAGAGTTGCCTACAGCTACCTCCATTCTTTTGCTTTCTATTTTGTGTCTAACGTGGATTTTTTTTGCATGTTCATTTGTTTGTTTATGGATAGCTTTATACTTTCTGTTAACTCACACTTCCATGTGATTAATTCACTGTTCCTTCAAAAGCAGACCAGATGGAGAATTACTTTAAACCACAGTCCCAGCAATCTGACTATTTTCTGGTTGAATAAGCTTCTTTGATCTTGGGTTGGAAATTAGTATGTAAAAAAAATTTCCGAGGCTCGTTTCTTCATATCCTCAAAGCTTATTTAATAATTCAGTGTCAGAATTAGTTTTGATGAAGAGGTAAGGTGTAAAAAAATTTTTTCTGCAATTCAAGCAGCTCATTTTGTAGTCTCATTGTCCTTCCTGGATCTAGAGTTAAGACACAGCTCACATGGAGGATTTAGTTCTGTCTTAACCAATGCAGGGGCCAAGATGATGACATACAGAAGTACTTAACTCAGGGACTAAAGATCAATTCAACTGAGTTTCTCAATGATGGCAGGAAAAACTATTTGAATCCTGCATTGGAAACTAGTGTAAACTGTAATCACTGTCCATCATTAGGCAGGCTCTATGAATTCCTTTTAGTCTCTGTAAGATTTCAATGTGTTGTGATTACTTACAATAATGACCTGTATTTTGGCAATTCTAAAGACTTCATAATGAGATTTACAGAGAGACGTTTTATCTTTATGCAGATATGTAACTGACATTTTTATTATTTTACGTTACATTGCTTGAATTTTAATTATACCTTGTTATTACAAAGGGAGTAGAGTGTAGTGTTAAGGATTGGTGTCCCGAGCCGTGCAAACCTAGGTTCAAATCTTGGCTCTGTTACTATCTGTGTGACCTTCTGTAAGTAATTTGAGTGGTTCTCAAACCTTGGTTTTCTTCATTTGGAAGAAGTAGATTATAATAGTACCTAACTCATAGGATTGTTTGGGATATAAATTAGTAGGTCATTCATATTTTCTCGACGCCATTACTGGGCCTTGAAACGTGGTATGTGTTCTGGGAAATGTGGTATGTGTTCTAGGTCAATTGATATTTGGGAGCAAGGTTATTACACATAAGTGTGCAAGTTGTTCACTGAACAAGGATGCCAGACCAAAGGGGCAAGTGGAGCTGAAAGCCAGCCCTTAATCTGCTCGCACAGCCATGCTCCAAAGCAGAGGCTCAACTGTCCAGATGAAGCAGGGTGTTTTTCTTTACGTATTAGATGAGCTAGGGCTGACCCCAAGTAAGTAGAAATCATGAGAGACTTGATTAATAATGTATCTTAATCCCAAACTGGAATCCTAACCAAGAAGAATGGAGGGGGTGAATCACCATATATATACCTGGATTATCTCCATTTCTTAAGTAGAGGATCTTTGAACCATTTTCATTTGTTGCTTTTTAAAAACCCAAAGAAAAATACCTATTTGTCCTGGTATATTAAATAGGTCTTGACTTTTCAACCATTTTTCCTTCCAGCCTTTCTTCTGAGTCACATGGCAACAGTTTTCAGGCGGTAGGGTACCCCTGACTCTTCACTTTGCTGTCAGTTGTACTGCATTTGCTTCTCCTGCCAGGACTGCCTCAAAGATGGAAAGGGATTTTACACAGTTTGATCTTGATGGTTTGGCTGAGACTCATTGCACGACCAGCTGCCTGAAATCACAGCCTCTCTCCTTTCATGCCAAGTTCATCTCCAAGGGGAAGTAAGGAAAGAAGGCAGAAAGGGATACGAGGAGGAATGGAATTGTGCAATGGGATGTTGAAATCTGCCTCTAGGAAGCATCCTAGACTATCTAATGTCTGTACACATCCTTTCATTACTTCTTCCATCTGCTGCTTTTTAGGCTGCAGTTTTCTCAGAACAAATACGCTGAAAGCTTTTATACATTCTTTGTAATATGCAGTACATATAGACAGCTACCAGAGAAGGCTTTGTAGCTACCAGAAGAATGAAATAGCATCTATTCTATCACTGCCTTTTAGTCTTCTTTCCAGTTCTCTAATTTCTTTTTTAACTGGGGAGATGGGAAGGAGTAGAAGTTGTATCAGCAGTAAAGGATTCTAACAAGAATCCATTTCATTGATCCATAAAATAAAACCAAGATTATCTCATCTATCTTCTTCATATAATAATTACACTTTATTAAATTTTGAATATATTACAGGTACTTTACATACATTATCTTTAATCCTTATAACAACATGGTAAGGTACCTATTTTAATCTCTGTTCTATAGATAAGAAAACTTTAGTGGGAAAAGTTAATTAACTTATTCAAATACACTGAGCTAATAAGTAATACGGTTAGTATAAATCCCAGTGTTATCTGACTCTGTAACCCACATTTTCTCTTTTTTCCTTTATTTCTTTTCCTTCTTTTCTTCCTTCCTTCCTCCTTCCCTCCCTCCCTTCCTTCTTTCCTCTTTTACTTTCTTTTTCTTTTCTTATGTGTCTAAAATTATTTTCAAATATCACAATATTACACAATGTGATGAATGCATATATTCATATTGCATGCAATTCATACTATGCAAATTATGAATTGTAAATGTGGAAATCCATTTTACATAAATTCCTTTACTCAAATATCCAATCCTAATAGCTTCCCCAGTAGGGACCAGTTTCTTTTCTTTGTTTAACTTTTATTTTAAGTTTAGGGGTACAAGTGTAGGTTTGTTACTAGGTAAACTTGTGTCATGGAGGTTTGTTGTACAGATTATTTCATCATCCAGGTACTAAGCCTAGTACCCATTAAGTATTTCTCATGATCCTCTCCCTCCTCCCACCCTCCACCCTCCAAAAGTCCCCGGTGTGTGTTGTTCCCTCCATGTGTCCATCCATTCTCATCATTTAGCTCCCACTTTCAAGTGAGAATGTGCGGTATTTGGTTTTCAGTTTCTGTGTTAGTTTGTGTATTAGTCTGTTTTCATGCTGCTGATAAAGACATACCCAAGACTAGGCAATTTACAAAAGAAATAAGTTTATTGGACTCACAGCTCCACGTGGCTGGGGAGGCCTCACAATCATGGCTGAAGGCAAAAGGCACTCCTTACATGGCAGCAGCAAGAAACAGAAGCTTGTGCAGGGAAACTCCCATTTGCAAAACCATCAGATCTCATGGGACCCATTCACTATCACAAGAACAGCACAGGAAAGACCCACCCCCATAACTCAATAATTCAATCACCTCCCACCAGGTCCCTCCTATAACAC